CTGTATCATAATTCCAGTTGTTCGATGGAGTGAATATATGCATGCAGCTTGATCATTTTCTATTGATGGTAAGAATCATAATTCCAGCTGATCGGCTGTAGCACTTTCTGTGCTTACTATTGCTGCACATTCGACCAGCAGAGTCACTGGAGGTGCCATGGAGGATTCTTGTTAAGGGATTTCTTTACAATTTCTGAGTCGTCAAGGAGAATGAACCTGGCAAGCACAATACTTAAAAAACAATGAGCTCATAGACGTTAACGAGTCATAAGTAGAAGCTATTCACCACTATGAAAGGAAGTTGAATGTGTGGAAGAAAAAGTATATTGATAAAGCAATTTCTTTTTTCAAAATCGAAAAAAGAGTTATTGACTCGAAAAAGTAAAGAAATTCTAGATATTTATTACCAGTAACGTAAACCAATTAGAAATAAACATAAACCGATTAGATGAAAAAAAGTGAGGATAGAGAGTTCATTTGCGAGTTCAACTATTTTCGAGGTATTTATTATTTTTATATTATATTATTTTGTTTTTATGGTATAATAGAAAGGATCAGGTGTTTAAAATTACGAGTAATAATTGCCTTTGAAGTGTTTTTTTAATTATATTAAAATAATATTTTTAAAAAATTATTTTTAACATCAATATAGTAAAATAATCTAAAAATACTAAAAAATATAAATTTTAAATAAAAAATAAAATTTTAAAAAAATCCTTTTAAAAAATAAAAATAAAAAAACTCGAAAACCATCAATTACAAACCAAAGACATTCATTTAAAATTTTCTATTCAGAATTCTTGTCCCCACAAATTCCTTATTACACTAGTTTGTTTTTACAGGGGTGTTTAAAATTATGAGCAATATTGCTTTTAAAATGTTTTTTTATATATTTTAAAAAATATATAAAAAAATTATTTTTAATATTAATATAGTAAAAAAATATGAAAACATTAAAAAATAATTTAAAACAAACAAAACAAAAAAAATTAAAATTTTAAAAAATAATTTTAAAACATAAAACATAAAAATAAATAGACTCGAAAACCATTATGATTGTGACCAGCCAAAAACAACCGTCGAAAATTTTTTATTTAGAATTCCCTATTATACTATTTTATTTTAATAGTATGATATAAAGGTTATATTTAAAATTGCAAGCAATAATTGTTTTTTAAAGTATATTAAAATAATATTTTTCAAAAACTTTATTTTTAATATAAATAAAGTAAAATAATCTGAATAGACTAAAAAAATTAATTTAAAATAAACAAAATTACCAATTTAAATTTTTTAAATTTTTTTTTTAAAATATAAAAATAAATAGACCCGAAAATCATAGCAATTGGTGACCAATCAGAGACACCCATCTAAAATTTTCTATTTAGAATTCTCGTCCCCACAAATTCTGTATTATACTATTTTGTTTTTATGGTATAATAAAAAGGGGTGTTTAAAATTGCAAGCAATAATTACTTTTAAAATGTTTTTTTTAAAAAAATATATTAAAATAATATTTAAAAATTTATTTTTAACATCAATATAATAAAATAATCTGAAAAAACTTTAAAAACTAATTTAAAACAAACAAAATAAAAAAAATATTTTAAAATATAAAAATAAATAAACTGGGAAACCATTATCATCACTGACCAACCATATACACCCATCTAAAATTTTTTGTTTGGTATTCTTATCCCCCCAAATTCCCTATTATACTATTAAAATTCCCTATTATACTATTAATAGAAAAGGGTTGTTTAAAATTGTAAGTAATAATTATTTTTAAAGTTTTTTTTTATTAAAATATATTAAAGTAATATTTAAAAAAATATTATTTTTAACATCAATATGGTAAAATAATCTGAAAAAACTAAAAAAATAATTTAAAACAAACAAAAATTTAAAATTAAAATTTTTTAAAACTACTTTTAAAATATAAAAATAAATAAACTAAAAAACCATGGTAATTAATGACTAACGAGAGGCACCTATCTAAATTTTCTACTCTGAAATCTTTCCCTACAAATCATCCAGTATACTATTTTGTTTTTATGGTATAATAGGAAGGGGTGGTTTAAAATTGGGAACAATAGTTTTTTTTTAAATATTTTTTATTGTTGAAATACATTAATAGAATATTAAAAAAAATTATTTTTAATATCAATATTATAAAAAATATGAAAATACTAAAATAAATTAATTTAAAACAAACAAAATAAAAAAATAATTTTTTTTATAAAAAAATTAAAACATAAAAATAAATAAACTCAAAAACTATGGTGATTGGTGGCCTACCCAAGGCACCCATCAAAAAATTTGTAATCAGAATTCTTGTCCCTACAAATTCCTTATTATATTATTTTGTTTTTAACGTATAATGGATAGGGGGTGTTTAAAATTGGGTGCAATAATTATTTTTAAAATGTTTTTTTAAATAATATTTTTTTAAAGAAGTCTTTTTTAAAATCAATATGATAAAATAATCTAAAAAAGTTTAAAAAATTAATTTAAAACTAAAAAACCAAAAAAATTAAAATTAATTTTTTAAAAAAATATTTTTAAAAAATAAAATAAATAGGCCATCGTGATCGGTGGCCAACTAAATGCACCCATCTAAAATTTTCTTTTCAGAATTCTTGGTCCCATGATTTCGCTATTATACTATTTTGTTTTTATGGTATAATAGGAAGGGGGTGTTTAAAATTGAGAGCAATAATTGCTTTTAAAGTGTTTTTTTTTTTAAATATATTAAAATAATATTTTTTTAACATTAATATAGTAAAATAATCTGAAAATATTAAAAAATTTAATTTAAAACAAAAAAAACAAAATAAAAAAAATATTTTTAAAACTTAAAAATAAATAAATTCGAAAGCATTATGATGGTTATCATTCAAAACACCCATCTAAAAGTTTATATTCAGAATTATTATCCCCATAAATTTTATATTATACTATTTTGTTTTTATGGTATAATAGAAAGGGGTGTTTAAAATTGCAAGCAATAATTATTTTTAAAGTATTTTTTAAAAATTTATTAAAATAATATTTTTTTTAAAAAATATTTTTAAAATCAATACTATAAAAATATAAAAATACTAAAAAAATTAATTTAAAACAAACAAAAAAAATTAAAATTATTTTTGTTAAAAATACTTTTAAAATATAAAAATAAATAAACTAAAAAACCATTATAATAGATGACCAATAGAAAGCACCCATCAAAAATTTTCTATTGAAAATTCTTGACCCCACAATTTCCTTGTTTTTCTATTTTGTTTTTATGGTACAATAGAAAGGGGCTGTTTAAAATTACGAGTAATAATTACTTTTAAAGTGTTTTTTAAAATAAATTAAAATAATATATATTTTTTAAAAATTATTTTTAATATTAATACGGTAAAAGAATTTGAAAACATTAAAAAAATTAATTTAAATTAAGTAAAATAAAAATTTAATTTTTTAAAATTATTCTTAAAACATAAAAATAAATAAATTCTAAAATAATGATGATGGGTGACCAATCAACTCAAACACACCCATCTAAAATTTTCTATTCAGAATTCCTGTTCCCACAAATTTCCTGTGCCCGACGAACCTTCAAAGAGCATGCTCGACGCAGCCCCGATTGCTCCATCAACCGTTGTATGAAACACCGTTCTGCGGGGTTGACTCGATGATTAAAGATTTATCATCATAGCAATAATTGTAGTCATCTTTTCTTTTTCTTTTTCTTTTTTTTTTAAAAAAAGAAATGTTGGCCAAAAGAGCTGCTGAAGCAGAAATAATTGGAAAGTTAGAAAAGCTTCGAAATGAGCTGTTCTTATTGTCTGTGAAAATATTTTTAATTATAACAAGGGTTTCTCTGGTAGTATGAGCCGTGTGAAAAAAAAAATTGTTTTTTTATCCTGTTAAAAAAAAAATATAATCCTTAATCATTCTCCAACGTATTGATCGCTTTGATTTTCCAATTTGTAGAGAGGTCCTGCGTGAACCAAGGATGATCAATCAGTAATATGATTTTATAAAAGTATTTTTTAATTAAAAATATATTAAAATAATTTTTTTTTATTTTT